TCATTATTATTATTTTCCTTACAAATACAAGATCCTTGGCAGAAATTATAATTCTACCTCAATGTTGGCGTTGTAACAAAGACAAAACTAATTGGAAACAGCACTTTTGTTTCATCACTAATGCTGGCGGATGGCGGTTGGGGTCTTACTGAGGTTTTCTATAGAATTTAACATAGAGGAGATTTGTTTCATTTGAAATTTTGGCGGTTGCCAAGGGTGGCGCTTTATCGGGGGCGTCTTAATGGGGTTTGACTGTGTATTGTAAGCATCGAACGGCTTGGAAAGATCGTTTGGAAAATATTTGAGGATTTACCAAGTAAACTCAAACTCACAATATGCATCCTTCAAAAAACATTCTACCCGTTTTTTCATCATACATTTCTTCATGCTTCCCATAAAATAAAATATCACATTTCAAAAAGTTGAGATGAAGTTTTGCCACACTCACACACAAAGTGAAAATTTTCAGGAAAGCTCATGAGAAAATAACATCAGTATAACTTTTGATTATGAGTGACATCCTAAACCGTGGCAAAAAAATAATTTTTCAAGAAGGATATGAATTCCGTACAAAATTTAAATGTTGAATACGAACCATTTTAATTATATTTCGCAGAATGGTGAGCAATTTTCCATGTTTATCAAAGGTGGACTTTCTCTCTATGTCTAAAAAAATCTAAAAAATTATTTCAAAATTAACTTTCCACGACATCTAATGATTCGGTGATTCAGCTTGGTAATCCCCGATTCAAACTGCGCAAAATAAATTTCAAGTAATGCTAATGATGAAGCAGCTAGCTTCGTCAAAAACTCAAAATTCCAATCATACCAGATGCTCTACCTTTAAGAGCCCTAGTCTGCACTCCTTCCACTTGTACCGGCTGTTTATGCCGAGGAAGTCGACCCGGAAGTTCAAGTATGTGCAGAGGGCGGTGTTCCTTAAGGCTAGTAGGCACTTGGCCGCCAGAGCCATGGCCACCAAATGCAAGGGCCTCGAGGCACCGTCCCTCTTGCCACCTTTCTGCAGAATCTGCATGGCTTGTCGCACGTGCAAATGAAACACGGCGATCGCAGCGGCTCTTTCAAACTCTCCTCGACGAGCCAGGTCATCGAGAAACAGCGTGAGAGATGTTCCACCTCGGTCAAACCCCCAGCCGCAGAGACGAAGACAAAATGTCCGAGCCTCGGAAAGGTACACTCGGGCCAGGACTGTGCGAGGCCCGAGTTCCAGGCCTGTCCAGGGAACGTCTACAGCTTCCGATTTCTTCGAAATTGCCTTTCCCGCGTCTCCGCAGAGAATCCATCTAATCGCGATCACAGCACAAAATCCAGTTAACCATCACGAGAATAATCACGCCATTCAAACTCGGAAAAATGAGCAATATCAATGCCATACACGGGTAAAAGTTTTCCCTTTCGTGCTTTGCTTTTTGTTTCCCAAAAAATATCTACTCGCAAAGAAAACCCATATATACAAAGAAATACGGTAATCCATGAAAGCAGTACAATGCATTCTCGAACAATGGAGCTGTGCAAATTCAACAGGAAACGCCATGCAACACCAGGAGCTGCGATAATTACAGGCAGTATACAAAGCATTCGGAAGAGAATACAGCAAGGAATCAAGGAACTGTATACATGATTAAGTTCAAAATCAACCACTCAAAACATTTCAAACGACAAAAAAAAAAACTCGAAACAAGGTGCTAGTTCAATTTGCCATTCACAATAATAAGTGAACTCACGCGCATATGCAATATGTGATCTGCTTCCAAAAGCTGCATCTACATAAATCAGTACTGTCACTGCATATTGTTATTTTTAATTAAACTAATTTATTTCTTCACAGTTATACCTTTTAAAAATCTTCAAAATCAGGAAAAAGGATTGCTCTCAAAATTCCAACAAAGGATTTTGGCGATCTTGGGTATTTTACTTGCCGGTATTAATTTGAGGCCCCTTTTTTAAAGCATGTCTTCAAAAATTTTAAACTTCAAATAGGCTCCTCGTATGCTTTAGCTGAACACAACGAAGGACTAGAAATCAGATGATACAGCAATTTAATTTATTCCGCAAACATACATTTTTTTATTTTGAACTGAAACTCTATACTGTAACTTTTTAAAAAAGCAAGAAAAAAGAGAAGCACAGTTCTACAACTTCTCGCCTTTATAATATGAGAAATCAGAAAGTTATGAGCAAGAGTTACTTTATTTCATGCAAAATAATTTTACATCAACAATTTTTTGCTACTAACAATTTTCACAAACTGCATAGTTTATTATGGTATTTTCGTGAGTGGCTGGACCCACTTGAATCAAATTACAATATACAGTAATCTCAAGGGAAAACGCGTTTTACACAATGAAAATTCGGCAAAATGAAGCTAATTTCGGAACGGATTTCTTTTTTTATGCGGAGACTCACTGTACAGACAAAACTTTCAGGCCATTCGTCGCAGACAGGGCCGGATTAAACCAAATTTGGGCCTGATGCTGCACCGAAAAAATGGGCCTAATTTTCCTTTGCAACGAGGAAATGTGAATTTTTCCTTGCACAATTAAAAGTATACTTTGTAGAGAACAAAGGATTGCTGAGGCTAGAATTCACTCACACATATGGTAGAATTTCATCAAAATGAATCTGATTACAATACATTTTTTGATATTTTTTTTGTCCTGGCAGTTTCTCACTTTCTCCATAGGCACCATTTTATAGAAATGTCATTTTGATGAGCTCATTTTATTGAAGGAAAGGATGCACCATTCCGATTTCTTGAGAGACTAAAGATTTTTGTAGAGAAAGCTAGGGGTTCAAAAAATGTACAAAAAACATGACATATTCCTTGGAAATTTTTTAGCTTGTAAAAATCAAAATACGGAAAGAAAGTTTCTTTGTCATAGGATCTTCTATACAAGAAGAGAAACTTTCTCGTCTTTCCATATACTCGTTTCTTCAACTAAGTCTTCCTTCATATGTCTTAAAAATGTAGTACAAATAAGGTAGGTTTAATGAAAGGCAATACAGTACCCATTTCTTTCAAAAGTTTTCTCCTCATTTCATCAAAATACTGTACTTAATAATCATGATAGGTCTTGATTCATCTGTTTTAGATGCACTCTGAAGTTATGGCCCCTATTTCAGTGAATTCCAGTATGAAATATATTTAAAAACATTAATCACAAAACTACAGCATTTCATACTATATGGCTGCTCCATATGTATATGCTCCAATGTAAAACCAAGTACAATTGAGATTTAATTTGAAGTGTTTGGTTAAGAGGGCACAACAATATTAGTTGTTCCACTCATGGCACAAAAGATGTACATGATAAAATAAATTAATGATGAAGAAGTTCAGTATGTGTCTGCTTTGTGAAACATAAATTTCTCATCACAATTTCAACTGTAACTTGGATTGCATGTCAAAATTTCATCCACTTATTCCATTTATTAAAAAATTCACAGAATTTAAACACATGTATGGCTATAACTTTGATATTTTCACAAATTTTGTGCCCAGGATGAGCACTTTGAATAAAAAAAAATTGCTTTTCTGAAGGAACCCTAGAGTGGATGAAAAGTTGAATATTTTATTCTGGTCCTGCCCAAAATTTTGAGAAAGATTCAGAAATCTTTTGAAGTTTCTTGGTGACATTATTAAAAAAGTTTGTGTTCACATTAGAATGCAATGATAGGCTTCACAAAATGTCAAGAAAAATGCTATTCAGAAACTTGGAAATCTCCTGATTGCCTTGAACATTTTCATATAGACTATATAGAGCTATATGGACAAAATAGAAAATGGATATCAAAACTGTGGATTTCCAGACTCCTGCTATTGGAAGTCATGGTAGAAAATATGGATCAGACAAGATCCAGTGTGCAGTATAAAATTGCAAAGGGAGTGGGGGGTAAGATCTGCCTGTTTCCCAGGATGCAAGGTAAACACCTGGGCAGTAACACTTGGGCAGGGGTGTTCAGTGGTAAAAAAAAAAACATCTCCCCTGCAAAACAGGGACACTTGGATTTACAGAACCCTGAGCAACAATGTCTTATATCCTGTTTCTGGCCATTGATCTTGATTTCCTTTTTTAATGCAGGAATGATTGTGTGCTCTGAACTGATTTTTATGTCCTTGATCTGGTTTCCTCCTCAAAGATTTTTATATATGCAGTGTGTTGGAATTTATTTATTTTTTCCTGATTTTTTAAATCATGAACACTTTTGTATCTTTTCTGCTTTTCTGAATTTTCATAATTTTAAAAAGTTTTAGTTCCCCAGCTTGGGAATTTTAAATTTGAAATTCCCCAAGCTGGGAAATTAAAAAAAAAAATTCAAATTCTCAAGGGGCCTATTTGCCTGGTGGGCCTAATGCTGCAGCATCAATAGCACCCACCTTAATCCGGCCCTGGTCGCAGAAGCAGTTTTTGGGGCAAATGACATAAAAATACATGCGCGAGTGCTATAAGAGTAAATGACACACTGAAGTGAGGGGATAAAAGTCGTAAAAACAGCGTGGTAAAAAAAAGTGGATTCTCTCCACAACGATCTTTTTTACGATTTTCTCTGTAAAACGATTTTTTTTGTGTGGACACACAGTGTCTCTCCCTATGTTCAAAGGGGTTCTCCACAAAGAAATTTTTCTTTTTAACTTGAATTTTTTCTGGTCCTCGCAATTTCGTCGTAGAGAGAGTCCACCCGTAATTACCTACGGAAACTCAATACAAAGGAGTGACACGTCGATGATTCAACTATGTACAGTACAGTACACTCCTCAACCACATTATGCCACCCTCACCTGATACCAGGGTGCTTACAAAGAAGTCGGACCGGAGTCACCTGGAATCTGTGCGGTGGCGGCGCCCTGTGTCAAAGAAAGTCGTTAGTGTCGAAGAAGAAGCAAGCCGCCCAATCACCCCCAAATAAAAAGCTACACCCGCTAACTGCAGCACTGCAATTTTTTTCTCCTCGCAAAAGCCTCAATAATCGACTCACTTGACACCCTGCCAACGATTTCCCCAGCCGGGTTGAGATCCTTCCGAAGGTGCCCAAGAGGATGCGGCACTCGGTGCAGCAAACAGTTGTCCCAGATCGCCTTGCAATCGCTGACTCGATTCCATCCATTCCCAAGCGCTCTTCAGTTCACCGTCTTCCACCAAATTCCCATTTTCCGCCAGATTTCCGCTCTGAAAAAAAAAAAAAGCCATATTAGAACTGAAATTAAGGTTCAATAGAGAAATCACGGAAATATGAACAGACCAGCAAACCGTACTTCATGGAAGCACGCTTCTTCATGGTATAGCTTATATCGTCCGCCAAAACATCACATAAAACGTCTGCAACTTGCTGAGGGCTTTTATGGTCGTCGCATGTCTTGCGGCTGAGGACGTGGACTTGCCGCTTTTCACTAGTCCAGGCCACTTCGCCATCCGGAGACCAAGTTACCGTCAAACGCTCGGCAAACTCGTGATCAACGATTGCGCCTAGAAGAAAGGAATAAACAGTAGCAATTAAGGTCGACTCTCTCTCTCTAAAAATAAATTCTCTCTACAACTATCCGCACAGTGGGGCCCCCGACATGTGGACAATTCGACTTGCGGACACTCGATACATCATAAATCTGCCCCGACACCTAGACATATCTCGAAATACGGAAACTTTTTCTTAAACCAACATGTATACAAGAATTGAACAATTTTTCCCCCAAAATTTTCATATTTCTTGAGCAAATTTAGCTGGTTCACAAAATAAATAAAAATTAATTTTATTATGAATTGACCATAACTTCAATTCCAAAATAGGCTAATTTTATGCTTATATATTTTTTTCATCATTCTTTCAAAAAATGTATACGCAATATAGGAATATTTGGGATTGTTCTTTGCTACTTCAGCTCCTTTTTATACGAGAAAAAGATGAGATTGACTGTGGCTTTCTTCATGCATCTTGAAGTTGAAAAAAAGTATGTTCAAATTTCTCGGGAACTTTTCCCTAATTTTCGATCAACAGGAGAACCGATTAAATACATTCGCATTAAACTCTAAAGGGAAAAAGTTGTCCAACATGCGGACAAGCCCCAAACACGTCCGCATCTCGGGGCCCCACTGCATTTACCCGAGTAAAGTACCACGCGCACTTTTTTTCCGACAAAACTAAGGCAGAAATGTGGGATGCGCGCGTTATACGGGTGCAGAATTTTTGCAAAACGAAAATCAGTGGTGCTCGTCATGAGGGAGTGTTTTTGGGAGAAAATGATGAACAGGAAATTATAAATGGCACTTATCGTCTTCCAATGCCCCAAAGTTCCTTCGATTAATCATGATTATCAAGTTGAACACCACTATATTTTAAGAAAATATAAATATTTTAAACCAGCAAAAACTCGGGAGCGTGTCATACACAAGAATTGGTTGTCAGGCAAAAATTTGAGGTGCGCGTCTTACTCGAAGTACTCCAATAAATAGGATTTTTTTTCCCTGGAAACCTACTAAATCCCTTCACAACGAATTTATTCTCAAACCCCTGAATTTTTCAGTAGAGAACCTCTTTAATATGTATCGAGACCCCCATGCGACGACAAAAATTGGTCACACANCCTGAATTTTTCAGTAGAGAACCTCTTTAATATGTATCGAGACCCCCATGCGACGACAAAAATTGGTCACACAGAGAAAATAGTTTGAAGACAGCCTACCGTACCTTAAAATACTACCGTACTTCGTGAGTAACCCTTTCTATTATTTTGGCACATTACCTGACCAACTATCGAGTTCAGGAGTACATCAGTTACGCACGCAAAAACTGTTCTCATGGATAATTCGGAAAAGGATAATTAATAGAACTCTTGCCATCGAATAAATTGGGTTTCATTCTATTATACAGGTGGCCCCTCTCTTATACAACGAAATTCCAACGACCATAAAAAGTGATTGTAGAGAGAATTTCGTCGTAGAGAACTCGTATAACATGGGGTGAGAAAAAAATCGTCAGACAGATTAAATCGTTGCAGACAAGATTGTTGTTGAGAGAATGAACCTTTATAATTTTATTCAAATCAATCGTACTGGCTTCTCAGCTGTCCCCGAAAATTTTTAACCTAGCGTGACACCGAAAAATCAACATCCATCACACGCAGGCTTGCGAACACTAGGATTAAAGTAACGCAGCAAATCTCACGATCCAAAACTTAAATGGGCAACAATTTGATTCAAACACAGTACCAGTAAGAAGGAAAACATAAACGATTAAAAATGATATAAATTTCTGCTAATCAAAACAAATTCCCTAAAGGATGCAAAAAATTGGGGGCGGACAGAAGAAATTAAAAACAAAGGGAAACATTGAGATGGTAAATTATGCATCATTGAAAAATGGGTATTGAACATTTTTTCAAGTTAAGTCTATTAATAGAACGCTCCCGTTTGAGGCAAAGTAAACACAAATATTGACTCGACAGGAAAAAGTGAACGCCCAGACGGGGGCTCGAACCCCGGACCGTTAGGTTAAAAGCCTAACGCTCTACCGACTGAGCTATCTGGGCAAGTTATCAGAACTGACGGTTAAAGCATCGCAAAGACCCAGTCTCCGTTCACGCTTCTCACGCAATGCTCACCTTTCATTGCGTTCGATATTTGTACTCGGAGATGAACTAGATCTCCCACACACAACCGAAAGAATCCCCGCACAGTTCAAGCAGGAAATCGAATCCATACTTTCGTTAACTAAGTAATCCATTTGAATTTTAATCAGAAAATTAATATGAACGTACTGATAGCCAGCTGACTTCAGCACTCCGATTAGGTTCGTCGGCGTGAGAAGCATGCATGCATGCTTGCGAGTATCAGCTGACAGAGCCTCTCTTCCGACTTTAATCGATTAAAAATTTATAATTAACTTCGAAAATGAAAATAAAACGAACGCTACAGATAGACCAAGCGCATCACCTGATTCACGGAAACGGTGAGAAAAACCCCAGGAAAAGACGCGTTCAAGATAGTGTCTTGAAAACCCATCACAACAAAATTATTTTTATTCTTCGTATATTTCCGGCATTCCAAAGAACTCACATGAATACTGTATGTTCCTGCAAATCAGTCAGGACATTTCAGATTTTATCGGAAGAAAAAAACGCCGAGTATTTTCATGATCCGTTTTTCTTTCATTCTGATTTTCACGAAGCCGAACGCAAAATTCTTCTTCTACGAACTATGAACGCAAAGAACTCCCTTCAGGACGAAATCCCAAAGTTTTTTCTTAACGTTCAACATTAGTACAGTACAGTATCTTAATACAGTAAATAACAGAATACAGAAATGTGTCATGTTCAAATTTTAATTTGAATCGCCACAAGATATGAAACCCGACAGAAACTATTTCTTGATGTTTCATTGCGCATGCTTTCGATTTTACCTATACGCCCGAACATTGCAGATAGAATTTTGAAAATCCATCAATTTCAACGAACTGGAGAAAGACGGTAGACGGGTAGATCATTGTATCTACCAGAAAATCAGCAATTCGATTTACCGCAATTATTATAAGCCAATGCCGAATTTGACAGAAAAAAACATCTATACGAGTACAGTACACTACAGTGTAGGCCGCAAATAATTAGAATATTTTAAAGGTATGAATGAAGCTGATACTTTCTTCGATTAGGAATTGCATTCGGTCAACGAAATGCAAAATCACATAAAACGTCTGCAACTTGCTGAGGGCTTTTATGGTCGTCGCATGTCTTGCGGCTGAGGACGTGGACTTGCCGCTTTTCACTAGTCCAGGCCACTTCGCCATCCGGAGACCAAGTTACCGTCAAACGCTCGGCAAACTCGTGATCAACGATTGCGCCTAGAAGAAAGGAATAAACAGTATTAGCAATTAAGGTCGACTCTCTCTCTCTAAAAATAAATTCTCTCTACAACTATCCGTACAGTGGGGCCCCCGACATGTGGACAATTCGACTTGCGGACACTCGATACCTCATAAATCTGCCCCGACACCTAGACATATCTCGAAATACGGAAACTTTTTCTTAAACCAACATGTATACACGAATTGAAAAATTTTTCCCGCAAAATTTTCATATTTCTTGAACAAATTTAGCTTGCTCACAAAATAAATAATCAATTTTATTGTGAATTAACCATAACTTCAATTCCAAAATAGGCTAATTTTATGTTTATATTTTTTTCATCATTCTTTCGAAAATCTGTACAGAATACAGTGAGACCCCCAAATGCGGACGCCTCGACCTGCAGACAATTCGACACAGAGAGACACTTATTTTCTCAGGAAAAATGGCCCTGAAAATCATGATGTGGCCTATATATGCTTGAGATATTCGAGGAGATGCCGCAGTGAAGGGAATGTGCGGCCTATGCTTTATGGCTTAGAGGGAGGAAATATTTGATGTAGGATTTCGACACAGAGAGACACTTATTTTCTCAGGAAAAATCAATAAGTAAGGCCCTACATGAGGACACTGACTCATCATAGGGACATTTTGAGTAAAATTGCAAATACATTTCAGGCCAAATTACAAGAAACAGATAATTCAAACCCTAAAATTGATGTAAGAAAAGTTCTTGGGCATTTCTCTCCCCAAATTACATGCTAATTACCTCCAAAAATTACCTCCAGCATAGAGGGACTTTTTTCACTTGAATGTTATTTTTGTAGATGCCAAAATTACAGTGTACAGAGATACATTATTCAATGCTCCAAATATTCTTTTCGAATTGAAAATGTATTCAATAATTCAAATTCAAGTGGCAAACAATTTTTTTCCAGGGAATCCTGAAGAATATTTCTTCCATAAAAAACAAAAAAAAAATTATATAATGTAAGTCTATGGGAAAACAAGACTCAACTTAGGGACATTTTGACTTGGGGACACTCTTGATGCACCAATTATGTCCGCATCTTGGGGTCTCACTGTATAGGAATATTTGGGATTGTTCTTAGCTATTTTAGCTCCTTTTCATGCGAGAAAAAGATGAGATTGACTGTGGTTTTCTTCAACACTTTTATTTTATGCATCTTGAAGTTGAAAAAAAATATTTTATTCAAATTTCAGGGGAACTTTTCCCTAATTTTCGATCAACAGGAGAACCGATTAAATACATTCGCATTAAACTTTAAAGGGAAAAAGTTGTTCAACATGCGGACAAGCCCCAAACACCAAACACGTCCGCATCTCGGGGCCCACTGCATTTACCCGAGTAAAGTACCACGCGCACTTTTTTTCCGACAAAACTAAGGCAGAAATGTGGGATGCGCGCGTTATACGGGTGCAGAATTTTTGCAAAACGAAAATCAGCGGTGCTCGTCATGAGGGAGTGTTTTTGGGAGAAAATGATTAACAGGAAATTATAAATGGCACTTATCGTCTTCCAATGCCCCAAGTTCCTTCGATTAATCATGATTATCAAGTTGAACACCATTATATTTTAAGAAAATAGAAATATTTTAAACCAGCAAAAACTCGGGAGCGTGTCATACACAAGAATAGGTTGTCAGGCAAATTGTACGCCAAAAATTTGAGGTGCGCGTCTTACTCGAAGTATTGTACTCCAATAAATAGGAATTTTTTTCCCTGGAAACCTACTAAATCCCTTCACAACGAATTTATTCTCAAACCCCTGAATTTTTCAGTAGAGAACCTCTTTAATATGTATCGAGACCCCCATGCGACGACAAAAATTGGTCACACAGAGAAAATAGTTATACAGACAGCCTACCGTACCTTAAAATACTACCGTACTTCGTGAGTAACCCTTTCTATTATTTTGGCACATTACCTGACCAACTATCGAGTTCAGGAGTACATCAGTTACGCACGCAAAAACTGTTCTCACGGATAATTCGGAAAAGGATAATTAATAGAACTCTTGCCATCGATTAGATTGGGTTTTATTCTATTGTACAGGTGGCCCCTCTCTACAACGAAATTCCAACGACCATAAAAAGTGATTTTAGAGAGAATTTCGTCGTAGAGAACTCGTATAACATGGGGTGAGAAAAACATCGTCAGACAGATTAAATCGTTGCAGACAAGATTGTTGTTGAGAGAATGGACCTTTATAATTTTATTCAAATCAATCGTACTGGCTTCTCAGCTGTCCCCGAAAATTTTTAACCTAGCGTGGAAAAATCAACATCCATCATACGCAGGCTTGCGAACACTAGGATTAAAGTAACGCAGCAAATCTCACGCTCCAAAACTTAAATGGGGCAACAATTTGATTCAAATACAGTACCATTAAGAAGGAAAACATGAACGATTAAAAATGATATACATTTCTGCTAATCAAAACAAATTCCCTGAAGAGCCTAAAGGATGCAACAAATTGGGGGCGGACAGAAGAAATTAAAAACAAAGGGAAACATTGAGATGGTAAATTATGCATAATTGAAAAATGGGTATTGAACATTTTTTCAAGTTAAGTCTATTAATAGAACGCTCCCGTTTGAGGCAAAGTAAACACAAATGTTGACTCGACAGGAAAAAGTGAACGCCCAGACGGGGGCTCGAACCCCGGACCGTTAGGTTAAAAGCCTAACGCTCTACCGACTGAGCTATCTGGGCAAGTTATCAACTCAGACGGTTAAAGCATGCGAAAGACCCAGTCTCCGTTCACGCTTCTCACGCAATGCTCACCTTTCATTGCGTTCGATATTTGTACTCGGAGATGAACTAAATCTCCCACACACAACCGAAAGAATCCCCGCACAGTTCAAGCAGGAAATCGAATCCATACTTTCGTTAACTAAGTAATCCATTTGAATTTTAATCAGAAAATTAATAAGAACATACCGATAGCCAGATAAGCCAGCTGACTTCAGCACTCCGATTAGGTTCGTCGGCGTGAGAAGCATGCATGCATGCTTGCGAGTATCAGCTGACAGAGCCTCTCTTCAGACTTGAATCGATTAACAATTCATAATTTAACTTCGAAAATGAAAATGAAACGAACGCTATAGATAGACCAAGCGCGTCAGCTGATTCACTGAAACGGCGAGAAAAAGAAACCAGGAAAAAGAGCGTTCAAGAATTAATGAAAACGCATCACAACAAAATTATGTTTATTCTTCGTATATTTCGGGCATTCCGAAGAACTCACATGAATACTGCATGTTCCTGCAAATCAGTCAAGACATTTTAGATTTTATCGGAAGAAAAAAACACCGAGTATTTTCATGATCCGTTTTTTTCATTCTGATTTTCACGAAGCAGAACGAAAAATTCTTTTTCTATGAACTATGAACGCAGAGAATTCCCTTCAGGACGAAATCCCAAAGTGTTTTCTTAACGTTCAACTTTAGTACAGTATCTTAATACAGTGTGTAGTTCTCAACATAAATGTGTCATGTTCAAATTTTAATTTTAATCGCCACAAGATATGAAACCCAACAGAAACTATTTCTTGATGATGTTTCATTGCGCATGATTTCGATTTTACCTATACGCCCGAACATTGCAGATAGAATTTTGAAAATCCATCAATTTCAATGAACTGGAGAAAGACGGTAGACGGGTAGATCCTTGTTCCAGGAAATGGCAATTCCATTTACCGCAATTATTATAAGCCAATGCCGAATGTGACAGAAAAAAAACATCTATACGAGTACAGTACACTACAGTGTAGGCCGCAAATAATTAGAATATTTTAAAGGTATGAATGAAGCTGATACTTTCTTCGATTAGGAATTGCATTCGGTCAACGAAATGCAAAAAAAATTAAAATGCCGCGGAGATGAGCTTTTGTGAAAAATTCACGCAGCACCGAAAATGGTGAAACAAAACCATCCGGGTGCTGATCATACGTTTTCATTTCCCTTTATTTTTCCTACATCAAATATTTCCTCCCTCTAAGCCATAAAGCATAGGCCGCACATTCCCTTCACTGCGGCATCTCCTCGAATATCTCAAGCATATATAGGCCACATCATGATTTTCAGGGCCATTTTTCCTTTCGACAGACTGTGCTCTTCCATCAAATAAATACGGCAGCGTCAGCAATCCATTCGGACAAAAAACCTGCGCGCAAGTCAAACACTGCGCCAAACAAAAATAAGCCCCCTTTTTCCCTCTTCCCCCCACAATGACTTCGCAAGGGAAGCGATAGTTTTCACTCTCCCATCAGCCGATGGAATCCATTGAGTCAACACGTCGTCGACGCGGTAGCAAAATAAAAATTAAAATCCCGTAGTTGCCCTCGTCCGACAGTCTCCGGCCCGGGCATCGTAGTAGAACAACGATCGAGTCACGGTTCTGTTTTGCAAACGGGGCGAGGAAATGCGCGAATTTTTCTGCATTCCCGATGCCTCGTGGGCAGCACAGCGCCTGACATCCGCCCATCTTTATCTATGGTGTTTAATCCCCCCAAACCCAAAAATAAGGTCAGATATCATCTACTCATTGAATAAGCCAGAAGACTGACCAATCGACTCCTGAAATCTGTGTTCATAAATACTGTATTTCCAACCCGAAGATCTATGCAAGAAAATTCTTTGGTATTTCTCCCATCATTTTCCCATCCATTCAGCTAATTTAAAAAAAATTCCCTCCAGCATAGAGGTTCTTCCTTCTCTCTTTGTGACTTGAATATTATTTTTACAGGTGCCAACATTTCAATGTACTGTATAAAGGTACACTATTCAATGCTCCAAATGTTCTTATCAAGTTGAAAAGATATTCACTGAATCAAATTCAAGTGGCAAACTAATTTTTTCATGGGATTCTGAAGAATACTTCTTCCATAAAACCATAAAACTCTAAGTAAAAATTATATAATGTAAATGTATGGGAAAACAAGACTTGACTTAGGGACATTTCAACTTGGGGATACTCTTGATGCAACAATTATGTCCGCATATGGGGGTCTCACTGTATTTCTAATAGAGACGATTGAAAAGTAAAAAAAAAATCTTATTAGAAAATTTTATTGAAAATCTTATTAGTCCCAGATCTGGCAAGCACATTCCTATGAAAAAAAAGTGGTCTAGTTTTGTTTGACAATACAATAAACAAAATACAGTATGCTGTTTTCAACATGCTTTGGATATGGGCTGTTAGCAGACACGTTCAACTGACCATTCACAATCAACGACAAAACCCAAGAGAAAAAAAAAGAAAACCACAAGAAAACGTACCTTCGGAAGTGAGAACGAGAAAATGCCCAGCAGATGGTCCAGAACTCCAAGAAAAAGAGACCGCATTGGACCGAGTCGGCCAAATGGTTCGTTCTAGAACGTTGAGACCACTTTCTTGTCCACTCCAGGAATGCAAATCATACGTTCTCAGAAACGGCGAATCTTTGCTGCTCGTCGCTAGTAAACCGCTCCTACGAGTAAAAGCAAAATAAGGAGTGAAAATCGACAACTTTCCCTGAGTGCAATTCGCAATTTCCTGAGGTATGAGTAGGAGAATAAGAGAGAGGTTCGGGTAAAATAATTGGTTTTGCTCTTGTTGCTTTGCCTTTTTCGAGGCATCGTCGAATGAATGAAATCACCGTAATTCTACCAAGTGATATTTGATCATTTCTTATGCCAAGAACTCAGTGAGTAAATAGAAGATTCCGGACCGAAAATTTGAGGCTGGAATATCAGAAAAAGCGAAAATCACTGACAAAGTTGAAGACAAAAAAACGCTTCTTGACACACTGAGCTTTTTTTGTGTGGTATCAATGGTAAAATGCTGCGGAGTGTGTGTGAGATATTCGAGTGATTACAGCACAGGTATCCTCTCTACAATCTCGTCTGCAAATATTTTCTCTGTACAATATAACCAATTTTTTGGTTTCATAGGGGTCTCTATCCATGCAATGAAGGTTCTGTACAACGAAATTCTTTCTACAAAGATTTTTTCCTCGTCCCTTAAATCTATTTCCCTGTACTGTATAACAATTCTTTTGTCCCACAAGGATCCCTATTCATGCTACGAAATTTCTGTGCAACGAAATTCTTCCTACAAGAATTTGCTTCTAGTCACTTAAATTTCATTGTAGAGCGATTTCACCTGCATTACAAAAGGTCACGGAAGAATATTTTTTTTATTGAATTAGCTCGATTTAATTGCAGTATTTCAATGGAATATCACATGCATTGAATTATCCCGCCAAAAAGACATATTGTCTCCCAGAAAAAAAAAAAGAATCTCGGACCGCAATAATCTTCACCCAACGCGTAAATGATGATGTCCTTCCCCACAGGTTCAACACGGAAGTCCGAAAGAAAACAATAATCACCTCGTTGGACACCATGCCAACTTGGTGACAGGACCAGCAGGCCCGAGCACAGCGGGCGACGAAGGGGTTTTTTCCCCGATCGACATCAAGGGACGTTCCAGGTTCCTTCGATCCCACAGCACAACTACGTTATCCGTCGTGTAAGACGCAAACCTGAAGTTTACGAATGGGTCCACGCAAACTCCTAGCACAGCCTTCGTAGGAGGACTACTTTGCACTTGCCGCTGGCTGTCTGTAAAAAGTAACAGATGCAGGTCAGAAAATAAACCGGTCATGTTCATTCAAATCTACCTCTATTCATAATTGAAAAAAAAAATTTTCAAGGCGCGGAAATCAAGAATTTTCAAACAATCCAATTAGAGCAAATAATCAACACTCAATAAGAGAGGATGTCAACGCACAAAAATACGGTTGTATACGGAAAAGCAAAAAATTTGTTCTCGGCCTAAACCCCTGTCTCCTTTGCTACACAACTGGATCGTTATAACGAATCTCCTCATGACGAAAACAGTAATCGATCACGAGGAATTCGTTTATTCAGTCCGTGTCCATTAGCAGCGATTTTATTCTTCGCTTATGACGAATTTTTCGCTATAATTAATCAACTCCACTGGTCCCACTGACTTCGTTGTACAGTAACAAGGTTTTACTGTACTACCCATTCAAACTGCGAATACCCCGTCATTAACCCGGATGATCCTTCATTGATATTTACCACACTCAATTCGAAGTTCAATATCTGTTACCCTCATTATAAAATGGAACGATTAAAGTATAATCGTCATGTTGATTGTAGGATTTTAATTCAAAAGCATATTTGCGTCAAATAAAAGGTAATTAAAGGGAAATGAAGCAGATCGAATAAAGATTGAAAAGAGGCACACTGCTTATCGAATTTAGATCTCGACACTTCGAAATAATTTAACGATAAATGAAATGTATGTAGAACGAAACCCTGTTTGCAGTCGCCTTTTCCTGAGAAAACGACCACGTAAAAGCTGATACAGGCGGGCTCTCTCTGCAACGAAATTCAAGGAACCAGAAAAAAGCTTGTAGAGACGAACCCTTAAAGCATGAGGAAAGAAACCTATGGGATAAAAAAAAAATTGTTACGCTGAGAAAATCGTTGTAGACAAGATCGTTGTAAATAGAGTCCTCCTGCAATCATATTTTCCTTACGCTTCTCGTTCATTAGGTAACATTTTCGAATAGCAAATACAAAAAATTCGTTTCATAGAGAAGATCTTCGTGGAGATTCTATTGTTAATCATATTTTTCGTTCGTTTTTCGTCCATTTCACGGTTTCGGTAGAATTTTGGAACGACAAACACACTACGATGAGAAACACATTCTGTTAGAGGTGAATCAATTTTTTTTACATTGCCTTGATGAAAAGATTTTTCCGTTGCCTAAACACCGATCAACTCCAAATCGGTGTTTTTTTGTTTTTTTTTTCATTACCTCTCAAGTCAAACATTTTCAGGTGTTTCCCGCTCATTCCAGCAATGAGCGTTTTCGGCTGGAAGTGGAACCATGCCAATGAGTTGCATTGCTCCGACATCCCAAGCTCGCCGACGATACGACCACCGACCGGAGCTGTGGCGGAATTCAAGTAAACCGACGGCGACGGTGAGCTCGCAGCACCAGCTATGGCAGCTGACGCGTCCCAGATAACAATCGCGTGATCACTGCGATGCTTGTCAAAGCCGGCTGCCAACAACATAGGGTCCACATGACTGAATGCGACTCCGTTGCATTGTCGCTGATGTTTGGGAGCTGCAAATGAAGAGAATCAATGAACTGAGATTCTTTGACAAACACGATCTTGCTTTTGAATTTAATCTTGCTTGCTACAGTAAAAAAAAAATTGAGATACTAATGAAGTCCAGTTCCCAAGTCATTTCCAAGGCCAAAATATCGTGTTCCAATACTTTAAACGCGTTTACCACCGACAAATCGGAATGAACTCAAATTCTCATCGAAAATTTTGATACGAAATTGTTGATACAGTTGAACCTTGATAACTCGAACCTACCGAAGTCAAAAACGTCACTACGTCGATTTTTTCCAGTTTCTGTCTGAATTTCCTCATACACAGTGTAGTAAAACCTCCCTAACTAAAAGGCTTTCCCCCTCAAACCTTCAAAACTCGAATTTTCTGGAGGCCTTCTGGCTATTATTTTTTTGACACAGGGAATAGAAAAGCAATAGAAATATAACTTGATTCGTTTTGAATGGAAGTTAACGGCTAATGAGGCAAACGAACCCTAACTTCCAAGTTCAGCATCCTGCCAACTAATTTATTCCGCAGCGTGAAGCCAGAAAAAGCACGCATTTTATTTTCCTGCAATTCTCAATATTTATTTCCAGCAAAAAAAAAAAGCCTGCTTCCTTTAACTCAAAATCTTCCTGAGTCGAATATTCTTCGTGATCTCTTGAAGTTCGACTGTAAGTCTTGATGGAATTTTTGGACGCAAATCGACCCTAATGAAACATAATCTGGTCTCACGGACACTGCAATCGAGAAATTTACCGAGTTCTGTTGCACTTGTAGTGACGCCTAAAGCAATATCCAAGTCCTGGTTCTGCGAGAAGGAGGTAAGAACTACTTGACCACTGGCCAGTCCAACCGCAACAATAGGAGGCTGTGGATGCAGATGGTTCCCGTGCATCCTTGGACACCAGGCGACACTCTTGATAAACTTGAACTCCCTCGTTCTTCCGACAGCATAAGCGCAGAATCTCGAGGACAGGCGGAAGACTGAGAGAAAAATTGGATTCAATCAACGCAAATAAATTCAGCTTTCAAATCCATATTTTTTTTTAAGAGAGAGAGGAAGATAAACCCTGGTTTGTAAAAGTTAATGGTTTCAGGACAGCATTCATGGAAGAGGATTTAAAAGATAAAACATGACTTCCATCCTTTATTTCAAATTAAACTCAACAAGAAGCGATGAAAGCACAGGCTATTTTTGCAAGAAATTCATTCCATTCAATCTTGACGGTTTAATGCATAGGTGCTGCGGAACATTTTCAGACGGAACAGTACTGTAAAATATTGTTATAAGACAGTCATCAGGATTTTAAAAAGCCTCCGTTACAGAGAAAATTTCGTTTCAACTAAGATCAATAACATTGTGGCTATGTTTGAGGGACCTTTCAATATTCTTTCAAGCAAGAATTTTCTTCATTCTTCTTGTAGTGGATTACTCAGTTTCAAAAGTCTGCATTACGTTATTTGCCAAGTACACCATCCGTTACGAACTTTTTTGACTCGCGGAGTTATTGACGAAATCAATTTCTGTGAAAGAGGGCTTTAAAAATACTGTAACCGCATTTCTGCACCATGACTTCTTTAAATCTATCTTCACAAAAGAGTACATCATCTACCTTATGCCTTTCAATTTGATAGCACCGTGTAGTAGACAAGTCTTCACTGTGAATTGCAAATAAATTATGACTTCTTCGCGCGCTTATTTTTTCTGTGGGGCCCCAACTCTTACATCGCATAAAACTATAAACCACGTCCTAATTATTGCATGCCTTATATATTTTAAACTTGATTTCAATTATTTCCCGTTCATTTTTTGCCAATGACTGCCCAGCTTTTGGCCTTGATGCTCCATTGACCACAAGTTGGGAAACTGATCTGCACAAAATATTTTAGATCAACGATTCACAGGCTCTGTTCCGCAGAAAAATGAGGACTCGTACGCTTAATGGATTCAAAATAATCAACACGAACGTCGTCATCCTTCATTTGTTTGGAGAAATAATGCGAAGATATACTGTATATCTGGTCCCAGACTCCCACAAGCCTCTCAACTAAATAATCTTGAACTTCGCGGCTTAGGTTATATTCCAGAGATCTTGAATATTTCTTTAAAAGTTCCAGAAAACAAACAGAAAAATATTCGGGGTCACTAAAAATTGCAAATCTTTAAAAATGGTCCACTTTTCTGGAAATGAGGATGATGGCCGCATTTCCAGTTTGACTTTTTGCAAGACTGCAATTTATAATGCATGCAATGCAGGTTCAATAATGCGAGAAAAATTGGCGAGAGACTGAGTCGATTGTGCAAAAAATTCATTAGACGAGGAAATCATTATCCTGAATCAAATGAATCCCACAAAAATAGGGGGGAAAAGCGCCAACCACATTGCATAAGGTTCACACTGAGCGAAAAAACAATGCAGCATTTGATTATCCGGGAAAAAAACACTAGGTCATTCTAGGAGAAAATTAAATTCAGATTATTCCACAGAGGAAAGATACTCTTCGTACATCCAGCTTGAAGATCGACGTCGAGGTCATCATGAAAGCCCGGCAATGCCGACGCTTCTTCAACTCGATACAAGCACAAGTCGGAACCCCACGTCAGGAAAGCATCGTCATTCGAACACGGCGAACACAAAATCTCGACCCGCGACGCCGCCATCACGTCACCAGTCCATCACACGTGCACCTGAACAAAAATTAAAAACGAAATGAATCCCATAACTCACCCCTTTTCCAAACACTGATGAACAAGGAATAACAAGAATGATCAAGCATTGTAACAGGTTCAACCAATGCTGCAATTCTCGCATGAACAACAACTAATCAGCATGCAAGTTGACAACCACGACAAAATCGCGGAGCTCGTTCATCACAATGTCACAACTGCGAACCCACGGGAAAAAAAAAAATTCACGAATTTGGAAGCATTCATTCCGTCGCAAAGGCACGTCTACCTCAGGCGTTTCTTTTCTCACTTAAAGCTTTCCTCACAGAAAACACGACTAACATAAAAAAAAACTTGAGTCGCTCGTAAAAAGGTTGATTGTTGCAGGTTTCCGGACGAAAGGCATCACATTACAATAATATGGCAAGATTAGCATTCTCGTGATACATCCACGAAAAGACATAAACGAAAAGCGCACGCACGATGATTGGTATTGTATATTTTTAGCTTGAACTTCCGTCCGCATGTCACTTCGCAGAAATCGAATGAATACAAAAAAAGGGGAAAAAGCGCCAACCACATTGCATAAGGTTCACTCTGAGCGAAAAATGAATATCTCCGGACACCGGCTCTAAAGAATCAATGTTCCAGGTGCATTATTCCATTGTTCTGGGTTGGACGAGAGCCGAAGTGAAACAAGCAATTGGTGGTGAGATTGAGAGAGATCATTGAAGTCACGCTGTAGGGCATGAACTTGCGCAACGAGTCCATGAACCGTTTCCTCTAATGAGCTAGACGGCAAGAAATAAATTACAGACATTTTTACACAACGTTCTGCAAAAACAGGTTTTTAACAACGATAAATGTCGGTCTAGCTAGAAGAATAATTAATGTTGCACCATGACCTGATCTACTCTAAACTTAGTTCAAATCCTTGGAGAAAGGTGACAATTGAAATAAACGTCGGAAGAGTTCTGGAAAATACGCTTCAAAGCCTTGATCTGTTTTCTTCATGATCTCGAATCCGTAAAATGCTCCAACGATTGCCAAGTAATATTACCGAATAAATATTTCCAGAAGAACCGAAACATGTTCGGCACATATTTATTCTTTTGCCGAGATAAAAAAAAAGAGTAAATTCAGGATAATGGATATTCAAGGCATTTTTACCCAGAAGACATATTCGGGTAACTATCCACGATCTGCATGGCATCCACTGCACTCTCTTCTTCAAAACCCATCGAAAACGGACCTGCGAAGGAACAAACATATTAAAAACGTTGCAACAGGATAAAAATATCAACAAAATACGCACAACAATGCCAAGAATCAAAAAATTGCAGTACGCGTTTTTTGCGTTCGGTACGAAACTCTTCGATCATAATTCATCACATTTCGAGAAACATCCTAAAATCCTCAAATCAAATATTTACTCCAGTATATCGGTACTTCTTAAAATTACTGTGTATCCAACTACAGTGCGACTGTCTGTGTAGTACATAATTTACGCGGTAATCGTCCGCACACTGATTTTGATCAGTGATTTGAAGGGAAGAAACGCCGTTGATACACCGTCAATTGAAAATATTGAATAGAAAAATGAGTCCCCATACAACGGGAAAGCACTCAAATTTTCTCGGAAATTCGAAATTTGAGCCTTTCGGAATACAGTAGAATCTCTTTATAACGAATTAATGCTTACAACGAATTCGTGTTTTTGGTCCCTTCAAATACAGTAGTCCTAAAGCCATTTTAATTTTGTTTCACCAAATTTTCGTTCATGCCGAAGCTTTCTTCAAGGTCCCCAAACACTTCATTCTAATGATAGTCTACTCTAGTGGAAAACTATTTCAAGCATTTCCTGAAGTGTCCCGGGAGCGAACTATACCGAGATAAATCGATTACAGTATAAGCCGCACGCGAGTATTTCTGGCAAATTTCTACAAGAAGTGCGGCAACTGGAAAAAAAGTATAAGATTACCGTTCCAAGAAAAAATAATCGTAAAATCGAAAAAACGGGCTGCTGGACCGGTAAAATGTTAATTGCACAAGCTCACCAGCCTAAATTCTTCGATGCATAATTTAATACAGGAAAAAAAACATTACTCACTTCAATTTCTATAAGCGCTAGAATCTGGTTTTTTTTTTACTTCCAGTCTTTTTTTTCATATAAAATACACGCAATGAGGAGTGGCTGTGAGAGGTGCAGGAGAAGTGCTGCACATACCATCCAATATTGTACTGTACCAATATTAAACCAGCTGTTTCTGCATCGAAAAATAATCGTAGGTCGACATTTTCGACAACTAGACGCTATATACCTTGAGAAATAGCAGCACACTTGAGTCGACAATAGGCATCCACAACTTCGGCAATCAAATTTTCTCCAGCGTGGAAAATCTGCGTCATGCCTTCTCGCCACGGCGCCTCCTCGCGCAACTGAGGTTCAACTCCCATCACCATCGCCGATTTCTTGGGTTCCACTTCGGCTTGCTTCACTATAGATGCTTTTGGAACGGATTGGGGTGTCACTGGGAACATGGCGGTAGGTTTGCTACAAGAGCCCACTCGCAATGAGCCGCCTCTACGGAATGTTTCAGTCGCTGCCCGGGCGTCCGCCTAGTGAAAAAGAAATGGAAGCAATCCAACCACCGTCCAGGAACTCGAGATCGTCATTTTTTTGGTTTTGTTCGTTGTTCGAAACAAATTCTAATATTTAAAAACAACAAAAACAGCATCGTGTGTCTAAAATTTCACGGCGCCACTAGACATTCTACTACAAAGCGTTTTCCGAAAACGTCCGCAAGGTGCTGCCACGTTTTCCTCACACAGAACAATTTTGTGATTCCATCATAAATAAAACGAACAGCAAAAAATAAATTTCCAAAAACATATTTCGAGCATTAATCGTAAAACATCACGGCTTCGGAGTCAACTCCAGGTGTGAACTAATACAAATCGTCTTTTTTCGCATTCGAATGAAAATTTCGAAATCCGAAAAAAGCAATCCCAAAGTCATGTTTCAAAACATTCACAGAATTTTCTAGCATCTATACTTTTTCTACATGCATGAACGAATGCGAGAATGTAGTGTAGGAATACGGGACAGTTGCTCGTAATTAAAAAAAAATACCGGCTTTCTCCAAAATGGAACAGGTTGTACAGAATTGTCGCCGAAAATGCACGAGGGTTGAGCACCGAACATTTTTAAAACACATTTCTTACGCTTTAAATATATGGACACGAATATTTCGTTCCGCCGCAAATGATGCAAAACGGAAAGAAGTATCCGAGAAAAATAATTCAAAAGCACTATCCGATAAAGTAAGGATCCAGTTCAGCATTTATTCATCGTGGAATGTCGATGCTCTGAAGCTGCGGCACGATTTCTGATCTTACGAAGAAAGAAAAATAGAAGTACGATACGAATATATTACTGACACTAAACTTATGTTCGGTTCAAGCAAGACGAAATTTCGAACAATTATCCTAATTTACAAATTACATACGTTGTTCCTCATAACACTTCACATGAACTATATCCGAAATTTTCTTGTCCTGATCGTGTAAAAAGGATATTTCAAGAATGGGGCTCACATATAAGTGATGCTTGAAAATTGTGTAACAGCATATTTTTCGCACATCACAGATATAGTACAGTACCTCAAAATGCGTTCGTAAGTTCGACTTTCGACACACACTTACACACGCAATACTCAACATTCGCGACACACAGTTAGGTGGGAATGCAAGAAAATGATAACATGTTAGTCAAGAGAAACTGACGGATCCGACATCATGTTTCTACAAGTCCTCTTCACTACAACAATCAGCATTCGACAATTGGGTTTCATGCGGGTCACGAAGTCCGACAACACGGAGGGTTCACCTGCAGCGTTGAGATTTCTCCAGCAATACCAATGCGCATAAAGCTGCGACCGAAAAATCGGCCTTTCATCCTGTTCTTCTTCAACTTCCGTTTCCGTGCTGGAAGACGGCGCGAAAGACCTATTGACTCGAGGAGCAACGTACAAAACCGACTCTTCCACAACGCTGAGCGCAAAGCCAGGATCATAGACTACAATGGAACTCGAAGCCTCGTCATCTTCGGGGCATTCATCACTTAGAACAACAACTTCCGCTTCTTCCGAAGACGAATTACTATTCGCGGCTTCGTTGTCAACGAATATAAGGTCTGGTTTCGCGAGACTCTTATCTTGTCGAGGAACGATGTCCGGCTTCGACTGCGTTTCGAAATCGAGTTCGGATTGTAATTTCGACCAGGCCTCCAAATCGGTGCTTTCTCTGACACTGATTTCACATCGATTATCTTCTTCAACCTTTGGGATTCGAACACTTTCCTCGGTCTTTTGCTCATTCGATCGGCTTTCGTCACAGGATCTAAAGATTTGCTGCACTAATCTCGATGCATCTTCAATTGGAATATCAAATCCATTTTCTGAACAATCGAAATTCTGAACATCTTCGCAACCTGATCGAAATTCTTCGCATTCACTCGTAATTGTGCACACTGTTTCTGAATTATGGATTTCGGCGTCGATTTCCATTACATCACCTCGTTCGTCATTCTGCAAAGTGGAGATCTCTCCTGGAAGCTTTTCATCGCTGTCTTCCTTCGTTTTTGGAAAGGGGGTTGCAGCTAAACAATCATTCGCTTCACACACTTCTTCCCGGGAAGAAAAATCTTCCTTTGTGATAGAAAGACAACCCGGAGGATGATCGCTGCATTCCGAAACACAAATGACATTTTTTGTCGCGTCTTCACATGTTTGAGAATTAATATCTTCTATTCGTTTAGATGAGATTTGACTGAGTTCGGTTTCTTCCACGTTCAAATGTGGAATTTCACTGCTTTCTTCGCAGTTTTCCGGAATTTCAACACGATTCTTCGCGTCACTCACTGAAGGTTCAGGACTGAGACGATGGCAGCACACATTTGTATTCGACAATTCATCACATGGGTCACAAAATACTGTACCTAATTGAATGGTCATCGGAAAAGGCTCATTCCCATGGTCCCTCACTTCGTCAACGTCATCAGAAACCACTTCAGGAGGCGTCAAGTCGCACAATTCGTGAGTTTCCTTCGGCTCCGTGTCATTCGCCGACGTCTCACACAACGCACTGATTTCCACACTGACTCTCGTTGCTTCTTCGTCAATGAATCCGATGCCGGAAATATCAAGCGAGCCACACACCTGATCACACACCACAAAAACGCCTCCAGGAAAGTCCAACGTTTCGGAAACAGAACAAGGAGCAGAATGCCTTCGGCCTTCGTAGGGTAAGCTCGGGACCGACTCATCTGTCAAGGCTTCGTCTTCCGCTAAAGGTGCTTCCGTGAGTCGATTCCCAGGAAGCTCGAACTCATCCGCACCTTTCGGGGTGTCTTTGATGAAGAACTGCGATTCCCAGTGACGCAATCCCGGCTTGTTTCTCCCGTTGTCGAATGAAGACGCAGAGGAAGACACGTGCTGAGAACACGAGTCCACTAGAGACGTACTCGACCAGTGCAGCATTTCCGGAGGTCCGTAACTCGTTTCCGGGCGCCACGCGTCGAACACTGACCACCCACGACGTTTCCAAGTGAAATCAAACTTCACCAATCCTCGCGGTCTCGCACGTGGAACAGTGACTCGGCGACTAAGATCATGGTTCAGATCTTCGGGTGAAGTATCATTCAGAGGAACGGATTCTATCTCTTCTATGCACACGCGGTCGTCGCCGGGATCTTCATTCGTCGTCGAAGGAAGACATTGAATGAATTCTGATGGGTCATCGACAGGTTCGCAACACGTCACTCGCTCCGTTTGGGTGCTGGTCTCGGCGTAGACCTTGGGTCGCCAACGCCTCTCGGGCAACGCCGGAAGTCCGCGACGAAAGCGGGACACGAGAAAGGCAGGGATGGCGTTGTGGACGCGGAGTCGGAGGAACAAGTCGGTTAGCTTTTCGTAAGGCAGGAAGTCGACGCTCACCTCACGAAGATCGAGGGATGATTGACGACGATGCGTGGCGACCGCGGCGCCGGCGGACGTGCAGCCGGTTTGCTTCTCCACGAGGTGGACCCAGTCGGTGCATTCGACCTTTTGCTCGAAAGTCGCAGTGAGTTTGTCCATGTTTGGGCCTTCCAGCGAGAAACTTCTGCCTTCCACGTCGTCCAGGACTTCTATCGACGTCACGTGCGTGAATGGAATATTCCCCTTGAACAAGATTCTGGATTAGTCTCGTCATCATGAGGTCAGTTTCGTGAACATGGTCAATGTCGACATTTTTGGCATAACATTCTTTCAAAAATTCTGCCTTTATAAAAACGATTCAGTACTGTACTGTATTTCAAAGAACTCTCCGACATACGTTGCTTTTGATTTTGAAAACATACGAATAATTTTCAGAATTGAAAGGATCTGATTGAGTGATTTCGGATTTCATTTCATCAAGTGCATCATTGAAAGAATCGGGGGAAACGTCGAAGAATGCGAACGTGGGTTTCACAATTGGTTTATTTCTATTCCTTATTGAATCATGTTGAGCATTCGAATTTTCCGTCCGAAGTTCTTACACAATGCCTAGTTATTTGGCGAGAAAACGTCTGGATCTATTGCAAAATGAATCAAGTTAAAATGAGTCCCGAAAAATGTGGCTTGTCGAAGCAATTCATCTTCTGCTTACAAATTGTTTGAAAGAAACCATCATCTACACAAACACAACTTCATTGATATTTGAAAGACATCTTTAAAATTCCATATTTCGAGATTTTACGCGTCGAATACTAAAATTCCAAAGGCAGTCTGATATCCGCGTGCAGTCCGATTTTCCAGACCATATGTCGTGGAAAGAATGATTCAACAACAAAATAAGAAGGTTTAAGAACTGAATATTAGAAACTCAGGTTGAAGGTTGTTTTGCTGTCCATGGTTGTATTTGAGGTGCTATTATGGCAGAGGTGTGTATTTGAAATGAGGGTTGTGTCCTCCATTGTTAATGTGTATGTGCTATAGAAGTATAGATGATGATAATGTTGGTTCATTGTTACTTGAGATTCCTGATATTTCAAATTCTTTGGCTACTTTTTTTGTATGTAATTGTAGTTTGGCAAAAATATTTTTGCTGATGAGATTAGTTTGTGCTCCTGTGTCTATTAGTACGTTAATTACGTGTTTGGATGGGATATGTGTGAGTTGTGCTGTTTCTAAGAAGGATGTTGGAATTCTAGTTGTGAGGTTAAGGAAGGAGACCTTTTCTAGTCATGTGGTCTTTTGCGATGGCTGTGATTGTTTGGGCAAATTTGTTGGTGTTTTTTGTGTTGCGTTAGGATTTTTTACTGCTAAGTTTGTACTTGGTGGGGCTGGTAGTGCTAGGAGCTGTCTTTGTGGTGGTAATGATAGAAGGGGTGCCTGTTGTTGACGATTTTGTTGTATGTTCTGATTTGTGTTTATCTGATATTGTTGGAATCTGTTGGGTTGTTGTTGTGATATTGATCTTTGGTTTTGATATACAGTATATTATTCTGTTGGAAATTGTTGCGTGGTATGTGTTGTGTGATATGTTGTTGGTATTGTGGTCTTTGTATGAGATATCCTGGATTTTGAGTTGTTAGCTGTGTATAGTTTGGATTGGAGGTTTGGGTTTGTAGTTGATTCTTTTTTCATAGGGAGGTATGATGTTTTTCATTACAATGTCTGCATCTGAAGATGCTATTGCATTCTGCAATTCTGTGTGTGTTGCTTAAGCAATTGTAGCAGTTTCTGTTTTGTCCTAGAATAAGTTGTTTGTTGTGCAGGGGGAGTGTGCATAGTGGTGTTCTGTGAGGTCCGTTGCAGAATAGACATGGACGTGTGGTTGGGTTTGTGTATATAATTTGTTGTTGGTTCAGTGGTGGTGTTTGTTGGTAGTATTGAACGGTTTGCAGTGGATTGGGTTCCATCGGATTAGGTAATGGATTGGTGGTGTCCTCTGGATTGGGATTGTTGGTTGTGGTGCTGTTTCCTTTTTTCTTTGTTTCTTCTGATTTTTTATTGAGTTCCTGTTTAATTTGTGTGTTGAAGAAGAGGAGTTTTTTGGAGTAATCATCTTCGTCATCCGGAGATGTTCTACTTCAAAGAAAAGATGCTAGCCATGTGTATTTTTTGACTGGGGATTGTTTCCAAAGATGATAATCATGTGGTGGTGGTACTTGAGTTATTTAGTTCAGGATTGTATCTATTATTGTCCCCCTGATTAAGAATTATTGTACTACTGGCCAAAATCCGAGGTCAACCATGGCCACATCTGTTTTCATGTTGTGTAATTTTACAAAAATTTTGAGTACTTTGTTGATGTTACCATAAGCTTGTGTGTATGTGCCGTCAGGTTTTGGTAATTTTTTTAATGAGGATAGAAGATTTTTTCTTATTTTTGTAGTATCACCAAATGCCTCAAATAATGTTGTAACGAGGGCGCGGTAATCATTGTCTGTTTCTTCACCATCTTGGTCAACTGCAAGGTCAAGTGCGTTTCCATCAAGGTTTAGGAGCAGTAAGTGTATGCCTTGTTCTGGATCCAATTGATCTAGTGGAGCTTCATGTATTTTGAAAAAATGTTTCCATATTTTTTCAAAATACATGAAGCTCCACTAGATCAATTGGATCCAGAACAAGGCATACACTTACTGCTCCTAAACCTTGATGGAAACGCACTTGACCTTGCAGTTGACCAAGATGGTGAAGAAACAGACAATGATTACCGCGCCCTCGTTACAACATTATTTGAGGCATTTGGTGATACTACAAAAATAAGAAAAAATCTTCTATCCTCATTAAAAAAATTACCAAAACCTGACGGCACATACACACAAGCTTATGGTAACATCAACAAAGTACTCAAAATTTTTGTAAAATTACACAACATGAAAACAGATGTGGCCATGGTTGACCTCGGATTTTGGCCAGTAGTACAATAATTCTTAATCAGGGGGACAATAATAGATACAATCCTGAACTAAATAACTCAAGTACCACCACATGATTATCATCTTTGGAAACAATCCCCAGTCAAAAAATACACATGGCTAGCATCTTTTCTTTGAAGTAGAACATCTCCGGATGAAGAAGATGATTACTCCAAAAAACTCCTCTTCTTCAACACACAAATTAAACAGGAACTCAATAAAAAATCAGAAGAAACAAAGAAAAAAGGAAACAGCACCACAACCAACAATCCCAATCCAGAGGACACCACCAATCCATTACCTAATCCGATGGAACCCAATCCACTGCAAACCGTTCAATACTACCAACAAACACCACCACTGAACCAACAACAAATTATATACACAAACCCACCCACACGTCCATGTCTATTCTGCAACGGACCTCACAGAACACCACTATGCACACTCCCCCTGCACAACAAACAACTTATTCTAGGACAAAACAGAAACTGCTACAATTGCTTAAGCAACACACACAGAATTGCAGAATGCAATAGCATCTTCAGATGCAGACATTGTAATGAAAAACATCATACCTCCCTATGAAAAAAGAATCAACTACAAACCCAAACCTCCAATCCAAACTATACACAGCTAACAACTCAAAATCCAGGATATCTCATACAAAGACCACAATACCAACAACATATCACACAACACATACCACGCAACAATTTCCAACAGAATAATATACTGTATATCAAAACCAAAGATCAATATCACAACAACAACCCAACAGATTCCAACAATATCAGATAAACACAAATCAGAACATAAAACAAAATCGTCAACAACAGGCACCCCTTCTATCATTACCACCACAAAGACAGCTCCTAGCACTACCAGCCCCACCAAGAACAAACTTAGCAGTAAAAAATCCTAACGCAACACAACAAACACCCACAAATTTGCCCAAACAATCACAGCCATCACAAAAGACCACATGACTAGAAAAGGTCTCCTTCCTTAACCTCACAACTAGAATTCCAACATCCTTCTTAGAAACAGCACAACTCACACATATCCCATCCAAACACGTAATTAACGTACTAATAGACACAGGAGCACAAACTAATCTCATCAGCAAAAATATTTTTGCCAAACTACAATTACATACAAAACAAATAGCCAAAGAATTTGAGATATCAGGAATCCCAAGTAACAATGAACCAACATTATCATCATCTATACTTCTATAGCACATACACATTAACAATGGAGGACACAACCCTCATTTCAAATACACACCTCTGCCATAATTGCACCTCAAATACAACCATGGACAGCAAAACAACCTTCAACCTGAGTTTTTAATATTCAGTTCTTAAACCTTCTTATTTTGTTGTTGAATCATTCTTTCCACGACACCATATTTTAAACGGTATTCCAAGCAAAATTAGAGATTAGATCATCAGATCATACCGAAAGATTGTCGACCACTTACTGTATTCTTCTCACATCTATCTCCACCCACCCGACTTTCCTACAACAGAAAATGCACGAAAACAAATCCAAGACAATCCTCAACTTATTCTGTTTATTTTAAAGTTCACAGTGAAGCTAGACGATTTTCAACGATGCACTGCGGGGTTTCAGTGTAACGAGGTTTTACAAAAGAAAAAAAGAGCCGAAGCTTTTTCAGTGAATCATCAATGGTTGGCAAAAGGTACAGAAGACCTGGACGATACTATTCTTCGCTTGAAGTATGAAAAAGTTTAAAAATCGACATTCGTGAGATGCTTACACCTCGAGAAATTTTGAAAAATTGGTGGCGAAAACGTACGAAAATGAAAGAAATCTATCTTTAAATTTTCGAACGGGAGGATTTTTTCCCCAGCTGTGCGCAGGAATCAGGACAATGCTCCTATATCCAGTATGACTGGGAGGCTCCTCTCAAACCACTACAATTACGGGGGAAAAAACCTCGATTCCCCCACTTGTGTCGAGATCCATTCCGCACTCAGAAAAATATCTCTAATAAATTCAACTGACCTGGAAAACGAACGACGTCATCGTTGGAGCAGTGGACAGAACAACAAGTTGACGGGCGAAAGCTAACAGGAACCGATGAGCTGCAGTTTTCTCCTTTGACCTCAGCCCATCCCACATTATCAAGGCACGGCTCATTTTCAGGATCGGTCCCAGCTGCTTCGGCAACGGACACTGACCAGAGTCCCAATCCGTAAAATTCCCATTCATCACTTCCAGCTCCAATTCGGCTTCTCGTCGATGTGCGCTGCACTCCGCCTGAAGCAGAATATTCCCATATTCATGGGGAAATTGAAATAAACCGCCACTGCATAGAATCAAAGATGGAATAATTAAATCTGACGCATAAATGCAAGGTTCGTCAGGTATACGCAACACTGCGACAAAACAACGTTATTCAATCCAAAATTTGCATACGTCGCATTCTCAACAAGGATGAAAATTGAAGAGCCCGCCTGAATACGTACTACAACATCACGAAAAAATTGAGCGGCTCTCTGAGAATCTCCTCTGTCTGGATTACTATCTTCTAGCTGTCCTTTCCACTCCTGAAGAAACGGTGGGAATTGTGAAAGACGACGAAATGGTCCAGACAGCTTCTTGATCAACACTATCACTCCACCAGCTCCACTAGTGGCTTTCATCAAATGCGCGTTGATCTCATCTCTGAGAAGAAAAAAAAATTGATCAATTTTCACTTGAGGAAATCACCCATGCTCTCGGAACTTCAAAAATATCACATGTAGTCCAATGCCATCGAGTGATTCACGCACTACCACATCCATAAGAAAAACATTTGATATCCAGCCTTCCCGGAGTAACAAATGTATTTATGAAGCGAAAGATGGAATGGAAAAAAATGAGCATTCGAATGATCAAGAATTCAGCTTCTCGGGGAAAACGGAATTTTTTAAAGCTTTTTCGGCCATCATGGCATTCCAGTTTGGTTTGTGACAGGAAGCGAATTTATTGAAATCCTCGGGAAGAGTATTTGTTGAAACTTGAAAGATTTTGATCCTCAGAAACATAATGCCTGTCCTTCCTTTCATCTGTGAGGTTATTAAGTGACATAACACTCAGGAGTTTATCCAGAAAATGCCGAAAATACGTTCCTCTCTCTTCTTAGGTGCGGAACGCTATTCATAAATATGCCATGATTCGTCCGTTCAACCCACGTTGTCCCACTTTCCCTTGAGCCTTGACAAAAAATTATCTGCACAGTACTTCCCAGAATATACACGTTTCAGTGGGTTCGGCGTCGTGTGATTCACCCCGCATTCGAACTCAAAAAATAAAATAAATTGAAGAATAATCACCTGAATTTGTCGATTACGCCAACCGCCTTCGGATGAGCTCGAGAGTACACAGTATGAACAGCTTGTAGTTCGGCGGCATTTTGCAAGAAGATTTTGCCTATGCGAGGCCCGGCACTAAATCCTGACCCAGCATCATTTCCGTTGGCATCACAACTCTGTCTACGCGATTCAGTGACGACAGTCGTCATCAGAGTTCGATGGGCCGCAACAAGGCGCTCCAGGTCCGTGAAAAGAGATGACAAGTCGTCCAAGTTTACTCTGCAGAAACACGAGATGATCAACACTTGGATGTTTGTGCAGTATCAACACGTAGAATATCACATTTACACGAAATAAAGTTACAAGACACAGCTTCTTTTAGCAACCCCTAAAACCAGAAAAAAAACTCTGAGAGAATTCAACAATCACTTCCTCTATCACTTCACAATCAAAAACAGGGGTCAACGGAAAGCAGCATCTCTTCTAACGCAGCCTGAAATGAGAACTTGCCGACGAAAAGTAATTTTAATTTATCTTTCAAATAGAACTAGGATTGAAGACATTATTGCACTATGAATACCCCTTCATTTGAAGAAAACCTATTGATATGAAATGTCACAAGATACATTTTCATAATTATACGGGAAGTTAAATAATCGATTTTCTGTAAGTAGATCAAAGCTGATAGTAAGATGATCATTTCGTCGAGGAAATAATGATAATTTCTATGAGTTAACAATTTCTGACCTCAAAAGAACAAGCTTTCGCAAGCACATCTAGAAAAATCCATAAAGGCCCAGTACTTGCAGCTCATATAAAATCGAAAATGGCCCTCATTGTATTCGCAATTTTCACATTTTCATCTCATAAAACGAATAAATCAGGGCTTAAATGAATTAACACCAAAAGCATCACACCAGGCTATCATAATTGTAACGCTTCAGACTCATCAATGCTCAACACGTATTTTCGCACTTACTTGTGATTACGCAACGGTGGAACCATTTGCAGAAGAAAATTGTCCATTTCCAACAGAAACGCCCTTTCCGCTTCGATGAAAGTTTCCAAAATTTTAACTCTATTGGCAAACTGCTGTTGTGGCGCAAGAAGAGCAGAAGAGGACGGAGAGGATGTTGAGGACGACCCAATACCCACTTCGGTGCCAGGTTCGCATTCTTTGACGTAGTTGGAAGGGAACCAGCCAGTTCTTCCTCGAAGGGTCCCTTCCCACCAACCACCTTCCTCCATTTGAGTGACAGTAATTATATCACCTTTCCTGAAGCACAGCTGAAATGAACGAATATTCAGTTCTGGATAAAGCCAAAACGAGTTGAAATGTTTAGGCAAGAGGTCGGAATATTGTAAAACTCGGGAAATTCTCTCACGTTTTGTTACACACAGTAAAAATTGGAGAGAACTCCCCAACTTCTACAGGTGGAAGGGCAGATTCTTTCATATACAGTACATAATTTTTAAAAATTTTGCGAATCTTCCTCGTTGCTTCAAGACTTTTTTCACAGTAATCAGGAATTAAACTTTCCAACAAGCCTTTAGGGAGTCGGAATTTAGCATATGACAGTGCCGCACAAGGAATGATGTAGTGTATCCGTGGATTTCTGGCACTTCCGAAAATGTTGTTGATACGGACAGTACATTGAATACGCTAGCTGAATGCATCGTTTTCCTTCTATGTCCGCACATTTAAAACCATAGATTGTCCTAGATAACAGGCAACACAGAAGTTCCCGGGGATATAATCCTCGCAATCTTTCTGCCAATCGTATGAATGCACGCGAAGTATTCGCCACTTCAAATACGTTCGTAAAATTCCTGAAAATATTTTATAAATTGAGCGGGAGTCACGCAATCAGTTCTCTTGCAGCACGACTAGAAAGTTCACGAATAAAAAAAAAGTTGCGATAACACGATAGAACTGTCAGCGAAATATTTGTAAATGGTACATACCTCGTCATTATTGGATCCTTTGAATGGGTACAAAGCCTGCACATGATGAACCGTCGGCACAGGAGAAAGATCACATACCGCGCGCCCCACCGGATCACTCACATTGCCGTTGTTCATTTTCTGCAGAACGAAAAAGAGAAAAAAACGATCACGTCTCAATTTTTTCAGGGAAAGAAATGGCATCAATAACAACACAAGGTAACAAAAATTGGGAAATTTCATCACAGATTACGGAGATCAAATTTCCATTGGAAACGGATTTTGCTTGCTAAGGACAAGCTTATTGTGCTTCAAAGAGATGTACCCTTTGATTCTTCCCTCGTCTATCAAATTGGCGACGATGCACTGGGTTTCGGCTGTATCGACATCTTCCATTCCGAGAAATCTCAGCGCACGTTCAAATAAGAGGATGTCTATTTGATGCGAATTGAAAAGCAGGAAGATCTTTTTAAAGAGATTTCTACAGGTCATAGTCAGCAGCTTTTCCAAGATCAAATAGATCCCGTGTTCGACGAAGAAGTCATGGTTTGTTTCGAGCGCTTCATTCAACCGTCGAACATTGCCTTGCTTGACAGCCAATGTCACTTCCTCAAACTGCTCGAGGTTGTATTTCTTTAGCAAGAGCAGTTTGGGCATCTGACCCTGTAAGTGCACATCATTAAAACCAGGTTACACTGGAAAGGATGAAATTAGCTAATTATTCTTACCAAGATCATTTTCGTTGGGATCAAATACAACAGAATTCGTCTCTTGTTGCCAACATTGGATTTCATGCATCGTTCGAACGCATAAGTCAGTTTCTCCGCAGCTAATAAATCGAAATATAAATGGTTGATTAAGATTACTCAGAAGGCATGAAAATGTAAAAAATTTAAGGCTAATAAATGTTTGAAATTGAGTAAAACTGAGGAATCCCGCAGAATGACCTCATTAAGAGATCGCATACAGTATTTTATAAAAATTAATACACACTGAACGCATTGACAATAAGAACCGCACTCAATAACTCACCTTTATGAAATTCGCCATCGAACACATGCTTCTGGCCAACAAGATACTTATAAGTAACCATTTGAGCAACCGGAAATTTGTCTTTCATCGTTATTGAGTCAATCGCCCTCATCAATGGACGATACAACTCCAGATGACCACCTTTGGCATAAATACGCAGCATCTGATTCACAAGTCCAAGCATACCCCATCGCTTGCTTTCTGCTTCAGCCGTACGTCTGAAAAATGCATTACACAGAGGATTAAATTTACAAATAAAATGCATGCTTATTACTGAAGCTACCGCTAATTTTTAAGATATGTTGTCGCGAAAATATCAACACTGCATAGCAAATGGGGATCACTATATTTACTGAGGATGCCTCTATAGAACCAAAAGCCAGACGATTTTTCGTTGCCTATAACTTTGACTAGTCATCCTATTGTAAGATCCCGAACACATCCTAGCACCTCTCAACTAAAGAGCTCGTGAATATCATGATACAGTATTATGATAAAATATTAGGGAGTTCTTTCGTGCCAAAAATCAGAAAAGAAAGGTGACAGCAGTAAAAAAGCTAGGACCGCAGATCAGCAACTTCAGAAAAAAGGTGGTCAATTACACATCGCTTGCGCAAACCCGAAATGCGCTCATGATGGCATCCGACGCCACTCCAGAAGGATCGCGTTTCGTTGAATCGTCGTCATCTTCTACTCCGTCCAAGGTTTTCTTCAAGGACATGAGTCTGAAACAAAGAAGCACAACTTCAAAATCTTCAATGAAAAACTGAACTGATGTACCAGGCTTCGTGATTAAGGAATTCATCTTGAATAGTAGATCACTCGAACCCGCCAAATGCGGGAGCGTAAACGTTATGCCGCGATAACCCACTCCCCTCCTGTAGGGTCTTCAGTTCCTTTAAAATTTACTAAAATACAACGAGCAATGAAAAAGGACCTCACATTTAGCCAGCCTGATTCATCACAGACCTCAAAATGGAAAGGATATCGGATGAACCCTCAAGGTCTGGAGAAAAGCAACCACGCGAATATTAACAAGGAGAAAAGAATCTAGAGGAAAGGCACTTGTATTACGAGTCACACATTTTACTACTGTATCAAATCTTCGGCTTCCGTGAAACTTAAATTTACATCAAGAAGTAATTCACGATTTTGGCATGCAAGTAAATCGAAAATGTTTTCCACACCAAGAATATTCCGTTGAAAAATATTCAAGCAAGCAGTAGAGAATCACATACAATGCGTATAGTTTTCTTCAAGCTATATAAATGCATTGTGCTCCTGAAGTATGAAATGCTCAATGGAATCCAAGAAATTTAATTTTAAAAGATTAGCTAAAATTTTTTCTTGGTACTAGTATCCGTGTTGCTAGTCTGTAGCACATCTCTTTGCCACGGAAATCTGGAAAGCTCACTTGAAAGTTAATCGCCTAAGGTCCCTCGCGACCGTGACCAGAATCGGGATGGGCCAGTTCTTGTCTTGGGTTTGAGAAACAAATCGCGTTGCCGCTGCAAGGGCATTCACTTGCCAGGACACGCCGTTTTCCAAATTCTCCACTCCAGGCTGACGAACGTAATACAAGCATCTAAAATAAACGAAAACTTCCAAGTTTTACCAAAATCATCCATCACACGCTCGCAAAAGCAATGAACTTGCCTCAGATGCGCTTCAACGATTTCCACTAGAGGGTAAGAGAGAATATTGGCGATTGGGAATTCAGATATGTTCTCCACACAGAAGCTGTCATTCATGAAGTGTAGATCAGTCAACGACAGCAGCAGGCTTATCGAATATCCATCCTCACGTTGATAAAATGACTCCATCCTCTGAAGATATTGTCGCCGCTCGACTGCACCAGAACTACCACCGTGCGCAAAATACATGTTTCACAGGTCGCGCACTCAATGACCTGAAGGATGAAAAAAGAGAGAAAACTTGCAGTCAGTGCCCATATGACATTTCACAGAAAAAAAGTTAAAAAAAAACTCAAAACTTTGAGCGCGCAAATATGTCATGGCATTGCGCATTAGAGCTCGTTGTATTTTTTTGATGTTCCGCGTGCCTTGTCAACCGGATACTTCTCCGCATTTTTCTGAATTTTTGCCAAAGCGGCAGATGGTAGATCAATCTTGACACAGTCGGCCAGCAGCATTAAATATATCAAAACATCTGCCATTTCTTCGCCGAATTGATGCCGTTTATCTTCTGGGAGGCTACCTGACCATTGTCTTGATTGCACAGGAAAATTAACGTTCCGGGCACCGAAAATTAAATGTAATCCATCATTATCTGAGAAGCTGAACCATGAGATTTAGCAGAATAACTCACATCACTTCAGCCAGCTCTCCCACCTCTCCTACTAAGGCAAGAAGCAGATTGGAAGGAGTGTGGAACTGTTTCCAGTCTCGTTCGTCTCTAAATTTCGTAGCCTCGGCACGACTGCATCAACATGATTGAATCAGATAAGATTAATGCACGAGACTGGACCTCGAGTTGGCTCACATTTTCTCCAACGTAACATCTGGGTCGAACACATTGCCAGCAGATGAGCATTGTTTTTCGTTGCTTTCGCTCATCATGTCAAACGGCTTGTCATTCGTCAATGGACGAAAATATCGTTTGTGCTTGGCTGGGATAACTAAAAGCTTTTTGCTGACGGAACTGTGTCCCTTCGAAAATTCACGATTCGTTCCTCTCAGACCAACGCGCTACCTGCAGGAAGTATTTGCCGACATCTCCTTCAACGCGGCTTGTTGAAACTATAATTGTAAGTGTTCAACTTCCACACGTATCTTAGCACAACAACATTATTCGTGTGGGTAAGCCAACGAAGTTATAACCTAGAAATCCTGGATCATTAACTGTGTGACACCCCTTCTCAGCAAAACGCCTCCAATTCATTCAACTCGAAACGTCCTCCCTTACGCCACTCCTGCAAGGGTGGTGTAGTTTAAGCGTTACTCTCTCAGAGCTTTCAGTTAGTGACTTCAGCTGCGATGTTTTTGTAGCATAAATTCTGGGAAGACTTTCATGGCAAACTAGATTTTGAAATTTTACAGGAAAATATTAAAATTAAGTGCGTTGTACGGTGAAATTAAGGGAAAGTATTGAAGTGTTCCCAAATAAATATTATGGTGCATTGTCTTCCTTCATACACCTATGTAAACATGATACAGTACTGTACTCTTTTCCTTATCCACCTGTTCGCGCGATTCATAAGGTCACTCATTTATGGCAGTGGGAAAATTACTGTTAACGCTAGCGAAGACCTCCCTGGTCCAGATGACGTTTTGTTGCCAAGTCATAGCATGTTCGGTTACGTTTTTCTGGTTTCATTTCTTAATTCTTGGTGTCGAATTTGTATGGAGGGCTTACTTTTGAATGAAGCATTTGTCAGGTCTCCAGTAAACGCGTCGGAGACGTTGGCCATCCGTGTAAAACATGTCGCGATTTCGTGATGAAGGTCCAGCGTTGGACTTGAATAGTCCGAACTTCTCGCCGGCCGAATATTTAAAGCAACTTCAGAAAGCAAGTATAGCTCGAGTCGGATTCATTTAATGTTTAAACTAATGCTTCGGCACAATTTCAGGAGCTCAGCTTGCATCAGCTGATGGACAGGGAAAAAGAAGTATTCAAAGGGATACAAGCACTTGACTCGGAGATGCAAACACTCGTTTATGAAAACTATAATAAGTTCATTGTAGCAAGCGACACGATCTGCAAGGTATTTTTCCGTTAGTGTCTGATGAGTTGCTGATTAATTATATTTGCTCTGCATCACCACAGATGAAGGAAGATTTCAAGCAAATGGAATCGGAAATGAAAAGATTGTCAAGCAAAATGGGAGAAATCACGTCTGCATCCTCTGCTGTATCTTCTGCTTTGAGGGTAATTGACGGAATTTGTGCCGAAATCATTCCTTTTCATTTAATTCTCAATTTCAGGATCGCAGCGCGCAGATTTATAAGCTCTCCGATACCAAAACAATGTTGAAGAAGCTGCAGTTTTTATTTGATCTTCCCAAGGAGTTATCTGCACGTGTTGCTGCCGGAGAATACGGAGAAGTTCGTTAATATCCTCTTTCATTTTGTCTATTTCTTATACAGTATTTCCTAATTGATGCCTTTTTGTCACAGGCAATCGAGTGCTACTTGAAGGCAAAACCAATCCTAGATGCGTACAGCTCTCTGGATAGCTTCAGCGGTATTTGTGCTGATGCAAATGCTACTGTTAAAGACTTGGAAGTACACCTAGTTAGTGCGTGCATGGACGAGAAGGTGAGTTTCTACTTATTCTAAATCTGCAGCTTATGATCGAACGTGCAACCGGAATCTTTTAGGCTACTCCTGTAGACCTGAAGAAGCTATGCTCGCAATTGATCAAACTTGAGCAAGATCCTGTGCAAGTAGCGGATTTGTTTCTGGACGCTGCAAAAGCTGGCCAACTGTCTATTTCTATGTCTGAACTTGAAGCTCAGTTGACCGAAGCCGAAAAGTGCAACAATGCAGAAGACCTCGATGCCTCTAATCCATTTCTGCCCAACGAGGATTCTGACTTCCTTCAATTTCAACCATTTGTGGAACTGGCGTGTACAAGTTTCCTGAGTGAAGTTTGCATAACTGTTGCGTCATTCAATGATGTTTTCATTGATCCCTACAGACATCAAGGGTAAGATTGAACAAATTAATAATCATACGTGAGGTGCTGGACGTTGTTAAAATATTTTTTGGTCCTCTTTCTCTTGAACACTTCATGAATGCACTTCGAGCATGGTTTCAGAACTATCCTTGCGATCAAACTAAGGAAAGCTTGATTTATGCGTTGAAAATTGTTCGAAAATGGCATTTTGGACATTATATTGGTTATTTGAATATAATGTAAGAGATGAACAATAAATTTGAAGCTGCTTATTTTTTAGAGATGTGAGTTCACATACCGTATAAATATTAATCAAAAAAAGAAACTCTGCAAAACTTGTTCTTTCTGGGAGTTACATGATTAAATACTTCATGCTACTAACGCAAAATGTGATTCATCTCATTCATAGTGGAAATACCGACTTCTAGTAAAAGCAGCATATTTTTTTCAATGCCGTGATCCTGAGAAAATGGATTATTGAATTAAGTACGGTACTAAGATGTGAAATCCGAACTAATTGAAACTGATCTGATCGTACAGATAATATGACATGTATGACAAAGAGGATAGCTTGAGAAATGAAGATCCCAAATATAATTTTTCTCATGTTTTGATGAATTGTTTTCAGACCGGATCAAATTGCTTGCGAAAAGCTCAAGATATTCGTTGATGCCTTGATGAAGAGATATTTACTCTGTGTGGAGAAAAGGGCTGCGATTGAGGCTCGCCGTGATCCAAAAGGCTCTTGTGATATCTTGGTTGAAGGGTTGGATAGGTTCCACAGGCGATTACAAGGTCTGAGCCAGCTTGTGCCTGGAACTGACTTTGGACGGTGAGTCAGTCGCATTGTAACTTGTCTTTTCGGTGATGATATTTGCAACATTTTCATTTTGCAGTCTGGGGATGGATTTCGTATTGCGGGTGGCATTATTGCGCTGTGAGCAAGTGTCTGAAAGCGTTTGCCAGGACTTCTTGCGGAAATTGCGCCATGCTTGCACGGATGTTACTCAGATGAATGGATCTTCAAATTTGAGTGTTCTCATGGGAAAAATTATGAAACACATCGGAGATAGTTTGAAGAGAGCTCTTGAAGGATTGCTGGTCAGTCTGGAAACGTGCTTGAGTCATTCTATTTTGTTTGCTTTACTTAATTTTCATGTCTGAAGGTCTTCGTTGGACAAAGCGCTTTGTTTGCCGGGCAGCCCTATTTCCTTCAGCCCTTCTGCTCCAAAGGGGTTCGCGAAGGAGTAGCTGTGAAGTTTTTCGTATCGATCACTGACGAAGTGATGGGGGACCTGTTGAATCCGGATACGGGCAAGTGTTCTCCTGTTGCTCTCTTGCTGTTGTCAAGATTGTGTCTGGAGCTTGAGAAATCCACTGTTCATTATTTTGTGAGTTCCGTCTCATGCATCGTACGATTCTCAAGATAGCGTGTGTTACTCTTACGTTGTCTTGTTGCAGCTCAACTTCGTGGAAGAGAAATTTCCAATAAGCGCGAAGACATATCAGATGTCTTATGCAGAATTGTCCGGGAAGCTGAAGAAGGCGGCGCAAACTTTTCTGAACCGGTTCGTGTATGTGCAAGGTTGTGAGCTTTCGCAAGTGAGTTTTGTAACTTTGTTTTAATGTTAATTCGTCATTGAATTTGCAAGTGATTAAATGGAGCAGTTTCACAGTGCTACTTGATTCGTGAAGTTGGAATGGGCTAAATCAGTGGTTTGCAACCGGTGGTTGAAAATTTATCAAACGTAGTGATGATGTTGCTGTTATCTGTATCTGAAATTGTTGGAATAACAATGGCAGTTGAAATTATCTGAAGAAAAATGAAAGTTGGCTTTTCTCCTAATGACACTTCAGGCAAATTTCACCTGCTGCTGAAATAAATAATTTTAAATTTTCATTCTGAGAAACTTTCCTAGAAGCCCAGCTTTCTAATTTTTAAGGCATTCAACTTCAGCTTTTTCATTGGTTCTTAATTTGAGTTTTGCTTGGACCACTTCAGGGCAGGTATTCAAAAAGTTTCTAATGGTCTTCAAAAATTTATGGAAAATTACCAGTCTGCAAAACATTTTATGGAAAATCGTAGGTTTGCGGGCCCAAAAGGTTTGGAAACACTGGGCGAGATTATTTGCTCGTTTTCTTATTTGAGCGTGTGCCATGTGCTGTTGTGGTAAATTTTGCGGAAATAATTTCTACTCTAAATAATTTGTTGCTTAGATGGTTTGCCTTTCAATCAGTGCCCGAGACTGGTTGAGGTGCGGCGAGCCCCGATCTGTTCGGCCAGCTATGAAGCGCATAGTGGAGGAACTTTCAGGGATGGAAACTTTGGTTGGTATGCTTTACGAGGATGGTCCTGCTGGAAAAGATCGAAGTTCCGAATCCAGTAGACGCACATATTACAGGTGCATATTGAGCCACGATGAGAAAGAAAGATAACAACATTCAGGAGTGACCGTATAATGTTTTTTTCTGTGTTTGAATAGTTACTTAGCAGGATCTGGAAGCAATGCGAGAAGAGGGAACTATTCAGTTGGACCTCCTGCTCCGGGAAGACTTGGAAGTACCTGGGGTGGTGCCTCTGATTTGGAACATTCATTCCTTACGAATTTGCATAAGTTATTCTCAGATCGCATAGAGGTTTATGCCGAAACGGAATGGAATCGCGCGGGAATCATGACTGGAGTGATAAAAATTACCCTCAAGGTCAGTGAGGTTTTTTTAATTTCTGGACAATTTTAAAAGATGTACATCGGAAGGGGTTTAAAGTTATTAATTTCTTTGTGAACAAAATTGAACCTTGAATTAATGTTACATTAATTATTATTGGCAGTCCAGATAGTCACAATGTGCATGCTTTATGCCGAACGTGAATTGATTTCTGGTCGTCAAATGTGTCGAACGCTCGACAGATTTCGGAGCAGTTCGATGTACCTTTAGTGGGATGTGTTCGAAAATAATGAGAAGATAGGTTTCAATTGAAGTTCATAGTTTCAGTCAGCACTTCATGATCTTGCTTTTTCTTTTACTACGTGTGGGAAATCCGCCAGGTCCTTTTCGTCTTTCGATCTCTGTTCATATTGAAATAAAGTTGCATAATTTAGTTTTTTTTTTCCTGTTTCAGACATTCTTCGAGTACATCCGACTTCAGACGTTCGGGAAGTTTGGATTGCAGCAAATACAGGTTGATGCTCATTACCTGCAGTTGTACTTGTGGCGTTTTGTTGCCGATGAAAAGTGAGCTTTTTGAAACGTTTGTTGGAAGAATCTTTTGTGAATGAAAACCTTCCATTTTGCAGTTTGTTGCGCATGTTGTTGGACGAGGTGGTCACAAGTGCTTACCATCGCTGTGTGGAACCCGCACTTATGGAGAACAGCATCGTCGAGGCAATATGTCATCAGGCTGGATGATTTGTGTTACAATTACTTAGGCACAGTGTGATGCGATATTTGATTGTGGCCAGTTGAATTAATGTTGCGGTGTGTGGGTTATTTTGAAACTGCGTTGAAGTGCATGAACCCCCTGTCCCGCCAAAAAAACCCGGGGGCATCAAACAAATCCTCAATGTCAGAGAAGCTTTGACATGCCGACCTCGGGAAGAAATGATAAAAAATAAGGAATAGTCAAGCATTGAGGGCTTTCACTTTCAGTTCGACCCAAGGAGTACAGTGCCGCGTACGGAAGATGAAGCCGAAAGAAAACCGCGCGAGAGGCTTAAACCGTCCAGGAATGCTGATCAACACTTTTTTCAACAACCGGGGCCAGCAACCCCCTGAGTTAACAAACGTCTTCCATTCCAGTGGACGGACTTCTCGCCAGAGCTCACATGTGAGCTGCCAAATTTACGCTGGCTCCCCCTTCCCCCTACCTCACTCCCTGAACCCATCACTCTCTCCTTGAAGAAAAATTATGAGAGACTTCAGAAGGCCTGTTTGAATAGGTATAAACAGTGTAGTGGGAGAAGTACTATCAACAACTAATATAATTAATATTCCTTTTAATAAACCTTATGGCTTTACTGAAGGTTCTCTTTTCATAACTCTGATTATAAAAGTTGAGTACATGCAATGATACATTGTCTGAATTAAATTTGCTATTAAAGGGTTCTTGTACTGTATTTATTTGCATTTATTCTTAATGCTGCCCTTCCTATGGACACTCAAAATTGTTTCTAACAATTCAAACTAGAAATTTGTATGCTACGACTAAGTACTGTATATAGCTGATGGTTATTTGAAGGGGAAAAATTTAATTAATTGTTTCACTAAATTTTGGTTACAGCCATTGGTGATCTGTGCGTTCCTCAGTCCTTGCGAGAGAAGAATAAGTGCTTGTAAGATGATTGATTACTTCCATAGAATACTTTATGAATGCTTCGGTTTTTTTAGAATCTGTTGAGGGGGTGTAATATTTTTCACAAATTTGAACATTTGTTATTCCCAGAGACAGATGAATAACCTTGAGAATGCGCAGAACTCAAAGGTTTCCATTCGGGGTTTCCCCCTTTCAACTTTAAATCATGAAAGCAATCTTTTTGAGCTGTTTTGAAATGATTCCAGATTTTCTACCGAACAGGGGAGTTTATTCCCTGTATTTCTTTATACCCGCAAGCTGGATGTTAATTTTGAGTTTGAATGCGTTGACAATTTTCGAAACCAGCCTTATACCCAGCAAAGAATGGGGGCGTTGGGCTTTGGAACGTTTTGACATTGGCATTGGCAACGCCGTTGCAGCACCATTGTCTCATCGGGGCTGATTGCCTCCAACGCCCTTCTCTTTATTGACGTTGGGGGAACACAATGAGAAGGCGCTGTCAATGGCATGCAGGGCATGAGGCGATGGGGGACGCATTGGCAAAGAGTTCGGACAATGAAGAGTTCTGCTCTGGCAAGATGGGGCCTCATTCCCTGCACAGTCTTGGATAGAGCGCAGCAGGAGAGAAAAATGGCCGCGCGCTTCAAAACAATAGTGAGGGTTCCCGGTGGATTGCTTAAATGAACAGTATCCAGAATTCTTGCACCACCGCAGTTGATGAGAAATTCAAAATTTTGTCCAAATGTAGACTTTGCGTGGACAGGATTGGACTTCCGTGCGTGAAGGGCTGATAAGAAATAATTATTACTCATCCTCTTCGGAAATTGATGGCTTTTACGGTATTTTCCAAGATCTCTCCCCGAGGTGCATATATAATTACGTGAAGGCAATATTTAAGCATTCAGGATGCTCATTTAACTCTAGTGAAAATTATTCATTCTCTATAATCTTCAGTTATCCATAGGTTTTCAAATTTTGTATGTGATTAAAACGGCATGGCCGGCGTACCGCCGAAAGAACCGGACCATGATCGAGAATTGGTGAGTAATTTCATCAATTATTTTCGAGATGCGTATGAAACCCAAATCTAAATTTCCTGTTTAAAGCGGGAGAGATTGGAATTAAGCCAGGATGAACTCCGAGTGCTGCAACAATGCAACGTGGAGAGCTTCTGGTATCGCTCGTTCCCTTTTGCCATCGGGCTATCGGTCCTGGCTCACCTTGGCATTCAAAAAGGTGAGTAGAACTTTGGTGCTTTGGAAGTCATGATCGTAAATCCATGTCTAGTCAAGTGAAAAGCATAATTTTTCATTTTATTTTACTGTGAATCACCGTCGTTTTTGTGATCGAGCAAACACTTTATCACGCTTTATTCGGCAGGATATTGGAGGGGTTCACCGAGATTCGGATCGACGCCTAAAGTCCTGCTTGCCACCTTAGTCGGATACATAGCAGGAAAGTTCTCGTACCGGGACAAGTGCGCAGAAATGATAATGGAGCTACCCAACAGTCGCATAGCAGAAACTCTCCGCCGTAACCAACAAAATGCCGGACGCCCTCCCATCCCGAATGAAGAGTTGGTACCTTTTTCTGTCTTTCATTCATCTCGTATTGTTTTCTGGGATAGTTTTTGACAGTGTAATGGAAAGACTTTCTAACCCAATATTTCATTTTTGAAGATTGTCTGTTCCGGTTTACTCCGAACCAACGTCCAAGCAGATCGCAAGTCGCAGAGCTCGAGATGGGTCAGTGCGTGACTTGGACGATTATCGTAAACCGGATTTGGACTGTAAGTTGTTTTTCATTTTTCCCTTTCTCCAAAGAGTGAACAAATCTGAATCAGTGTACCGCAGTACAGTACCTGATTTTGATTTGCAGTAATGTTCTCTTGGTGCCAATTCAAGTGTCAGTAGTTGTTTTAGAATGTTCAAGGGAATACATGCAAAAGTCTTGTAGATGTTTGGCATTTACAGATTGATGGAGGCGAGTTCATGTGATTCAATTAAAAATAATTGCATGATGTAAAGAAGGAACAGCCGTAATTCAGCGCGTTCAAGTAATTAAAAGGTTATTTTGGAAAGAGGATCCAGGTGCATCTTGAGAGCGTTTAAAACTGATCTACTCTGATTCTGTTGTATTTCTGAAGTGAGTTCGTTCTGCTCTCCTTTGTGTATGTATGCCTTCCGGCAATTTTATCGTGCTTGGATTGCTTGAGTGAGCATCA